ACTCTGGGCCTGGGCGCTGTCCCTCAGCTCTTCAGCTCAAGGCTAGCGCTCTACCACTTGAGCAATAGCGCCACTTCCGGCTTTTTTCTTTTTTCTTATGTGGTGCTGAGGAATTGAACCCAGGGCCTCAGGCATGCAAGGCAAGCGCTCTACCACTGAGCCACCTTCCCAGCCCCCTGAAAAAGATTTTTATTGAAAGTAGCAGGCCAAGAGGAATTGCTAATCATAGCAATGTATACTACTACTAATCTGACATTTTAAGTCAGACATTTGCCCCTGTGTCCTACAATCTAACAAGTAAATGATGTGTACCAGGGTGATTCACATAAAAGAGGGTTCAAAGTGATCTATGGACCTTTCTTAGAAAATACCACCTAAACATATTTGATGACTCTTTGAAATAGTTCAATTAGCCACCTAAGAAATACAAGAATATAGTCATTTTTCTCTTTCTCTTCTGGTGGGAAGATTGAAAGAGATTGATTAGCATGATTTGCATTCATGTGTTGGGATGTGTGTTAAACTATAGATCTCTATCTATAATTTTCCCTATCCTAGGGTTTGAACTCAGGGCCTGTGTGCTGTCCTTGAGTCTCTTTGTGCTCAAGGCTAGTACTGTACCACTTGAGTCATAGTACCACTTCTGGCTTTTTCTGAGTAGTTTACTAGAGATAAGAGCCTCTTGGACTTTTCCTTCCTGGGCTGTCTTTGAACTGTGATCCTCAGATCTCAGCTTCCTAAGTAGCAATATTGAAGTCTTAACGCTGAATCATTTTTCTTTGAGAGGATGTTAGATTTATGAAATTCTTTATCTTAGACTATCATCTATTTTGTAGGAAAATGAGTATGTGAAAGGAAACTTTCTTATTCCCTAATACTTACATATATTACTGTAAGGTTTGTTATTTTATGAACTCAAATGATGATGAGCCCTTTGCCTGTTGCTATTACTTTTATGACTTGAGAAGGAGGAGGTTCAGAATTGTCCCCAATTATGCCTCCAAGTTATGAGTGGTGTTGGAATCTGGGGCAAGCAAACCTTTCACCTGTCTTTGGTAAAGTGTGCTAATGACTGGATTAAAAAATCATCATCCTATTCTATTACCAGGCAAAGATTAGTGATCTCAGCTCAGGATGGCATTACAGATTCATCAGATGAGAGTTAGGACAGCAAGAGGATAGTTTCATCAGGGAGGAATTAATGACGAGAGATGTATATCCTGAGGCCTACTTGACCTCAGGTGGTAGAGCTAATTATCTGATGGGCTGAAAGTGGAATATGGGATGCTCTTGAATAAATAATGTTGCTTAGAGAGCTTTGGCTTTTCTTAGCTAAGTGTGTGAAATTCATTAAGAGAATTAAGCAGGATTTCCTCAGTGGCTGAAGTGCTGACTTGAGAAGCAACTCAGAGTCAAGAATCTTAGGTTGCCAGCCAGGGCAGGAAAGTCCCTGAGACTTTTATCTCCAATTAAGCCTAAAAAGCTGAAAGTAGAGCTGTGGCTCTGGTGGTAGAGTTCTAAGCTTGAACACTAATGCTTAGGGACAGTGCCCAGGCCCTGCATCCACGCCCCAGGACTAGCATTAAAAAAAGAGAAAATCTAAAATAAGCAAAATAGGTTCTATCATCCCTTAGTTCATTATCATTCTTTTAAAAATTTTATACATATTTTTTATTATAAAAATACTGGGTTACAGTTACATGAGTAAGGTAATGAGTACATTTCCTATTGAGCCTTGTTACCTCCTCCTTTGTTTTTCCCCTACCATCCCTTCACTTTGATTTTTGTCCTTTAGTAGTGTGTATGATCCTTTCTGATTGGGTTCACACCATTATTGTGTAAAGATCTGGCATTTTCTAAGATGTACAGACTAGGCTGAGCTCTTCCCTGCTTGTAGCTCTGCCTTTGTTTTCCTCTCATCAAGATCCAGCATGTCCATTATGGGCCAGCTCAATGTTGCTGGAAGTTCCTTTACCTTGCTGCATTTCGGTTTCCTCATCTGTACATTGTTGCGTGGATGAAATGAGATGATTAACTCCTATAGGAAAGGTCGCATCCCATAGATTTTTTTTCTTTTGTCAGTCATGGGGCTTGAACTCTGGGCCTGGGCTCTGTCTTTCAGCTCAAGGCTAGCGCTCTACCACTTGAGCCACAGTGCCACTTCCGGCTTTTTCTGCTTATGTGGTGCTGAGGAATCAAACCCAGGGCTTCATGCATGCGAGGCAAGCACTCTACCACTGAGCCACCTTCCCGCAGATTTTGTACACAGAGTTTCCCATGCAGGACTCATCCCAGCCGTGCTGAGTTCATGCCCCAGTGATTGTGGGTAGTCTGGTTTAGAGGCTAGAATAAATTGATATAAAAGATGCTAGTTTACACCCAATCAGGTTTCTTAAACAAATCAAGACATCACCAGGAAAAAAATGATGCTTTTCTGCTTTCTCAGCTTTATGACTAACGCTGTCAGGGTTCTACCAGATGTTAGTACATTTGTCTAAGTAATTGAATATAAAGGGAAAAGTCATGGGCAAGAATCATTTTAAACAGCAGGAGGACAAGGAATTTATTGAGAGACACGCAAACCGGTATCAAGGTGGCACTGCCCCTTTCCATTCCAAACACGAAGATGGGAATCTTTTTTGTTCTTTTCTCTACCAAGGGTCATTTGTATGGTTATCAGATCATGTGTAGGCCTGGTTTTGTTGACGTTTGCTTTGAAAACAACGCCTAGATTTATTGAATTTCAGCTCCTACTTGTGGTTGTCTTGGAAGACCAGACCAAGTGACTTTGTGGGCATTATACAGCCCATAGGCCAGCAATTTCCCTCCTTCCCATTCTGTCCCTGCAGAATTGCAGATGACAAAGTATAGTCCTAAGAACTATTTCCTGTCACGAGCTTGGAAAGAAATCAGAAACAAATATATTCGTCAAAGGAGATTTCGAAGGTGGAATCTGTTGCTTTTTAATAGTCAGCTTGAAGAATGTCAAATTCTAATGTCTGTTCTGAATGGAAAGGGCCAGGTCAAGAGAAAGGAAGAGGACTTCCATTTAGGAAAAGGAAAAATCCACAAACCTACCTTCTGCCAGCAGCCAGGCATGGGCAATCCATCTGGTCCCTGTTTTAAAGGAGAAAAGAATTCTTAAGGCTCTTCAAGAGTGATTAGATTTCATAGTTTCCATGCTCAAAGACTTGAGAATCTTCCTACTTTCTAGGTGGCTTTGGTCATATACATCCTTTATTAACTAGCAACTCCCAATATATTGCCCAGTGTTAGTTAAAATGAAGATAATTCAAATAGAATGTGCATATATTCTGAAAATATATGAGGTGCACAAACAGCTACAACTAATCTTGAGAAAATAATTTACAGAGAATATTGGTTTAGTGGTCCATTCACACTTACATCTCTAGATAATAAATGTTTCCTACCTTATTTTCCTTAAAATATATTTCATAGTTCTCTTTGCTAAATAAGTCAAAATAATTCATCTTCCTGATTACTTTTGACTGAATCATGATAATGGTCATCCATGATAACTCATTTCTATCTGAAGTTTATAGCTTTTCATATGCCAGCATTTTTTACTTTCTGATATTGAAAGTAGGTATTACAGGACATACTCAATGGAAACATAGGTCCGTCTATAGAAGTATGATTTGATGCACACCATTTTCTATTTAAGTTCTCTTTAGAAGTCAATTAGCATTCTGTATAGAATAATAACTTCCTAAATTGAACTTGAAGTGTAAGCATACTTCAGATACAAATGATACAAATGAAACAGGAGAAGTTGTCATATTATGAAGGCATGCATATGTTTCCCCCAATAAAACAACCATAAAACATGACTATCAATAACAAGCAAAGAAAACAGAAGGCTGGACACTTTCAATTAATATTTTCTAACTATAATGATTGCCATCATATATTTTTTTCCCTCACATTTTCCTCAACATCTCATGAAAGACTTAACAAAATACAAATTTGCCTTTAAAGAATCATGCTTATCATTTAAGAATCAAATCAAGAACATGCAGACCTAGTATAAGACAACTGTTTAATTTTTCTTTATATTCCAGAAGATATGAATATACTTTCTTTTTGATGCTACAAATCCTTGAAGCAATTTTATAAAATATTTGGGAAAATTGGTGGTGCCAGGTTGGTACAAGGAGAAGGAGATCACCCAGGAGATTTTTTTTGTTTATTTTTTAGATTTTAGTGTAAGGAGGATTTTGAGTTCATGCCAATGGAGATAAGGGAGCTTTGTCTACTTTAGGAAAGTGAGTTTCAAAAGGAGAGACCATTAAATTGCAAAGGTTATGGGACAGAGAAGAGAGGTTGGGCTGCAAACTATTAATTATCTTTAGAAGTTCAGAGAGGTGTGGTTTTCTTCACTATGGTCTCCCAGTAGCATTCCCTTGACTCAACTCTCAACCCCAGAAGCTTAATTTTATGGTTATTTATAACCTGATAAAAACTTAGCAAAAGACCTCTTCCGCCACCCCTCCCCCTCCAAAAAAACCCCTTTATTTCTTGCAGAGGAACAAAAAAAAAGTTAAAAGTTACTAGCCTAACAGTGCCTTTGTATAGAAAGATTTTTTTAAATGTAATTTAGAAATAATCTTTAAATTTTTATGGAATAAATGAATATTCCAAAGAACACAGACGTGCGGTGGTCAGGTCAGTTGTGAGAACGATGTTCATTAGTTCACAGTCACTGATAATGATAATGCATGCTCTCGTCCCTCTGCGGTGAGGAGGGCTCCAAAGGAATCTGTTCATGCGCATGCATGTAGTGAGTGTGTTCGCCATGTAAAGCTCGCTCCTCTAGCAAGAGCCACTTTACACTGGTAGAGATGGATATGTAATAAACAAAGGAAGTGCATGCAGGAAGGTAGGAAAGAGAAATACTGTACCAATTGGCAAGGAGCATCCAGCCCATCCAGCCCAGGCTGGCCTGGCTCCCCTTTTTCCCCCTTAACGCCACGGAATCCCTGTTTGTAAAGATTAACTCATAATGTTACTAACACAAGAATTCACTTAAGCACCAGAAAAAAAATCTGCTCAAGATAATAGCTAGAGCCACAGAGGACTGGGAGAGGAGCAGCTCGGGAAGGAAACACAGACCCCTTCATGTCCAGTCAAGGTGGACGAGATTAAATGCCGCTGGGTCACACTCTGGTCACAGGGCGTGTGCTGGAAGTGTGGCCTTCTCTTTTGTGGGGACCCAAGAGGGCCTCCTCAGCTCCTGCACAGCAATCCTTTAGGGTTAGGAAACCAGGCAGAGCCCATGGCCAGAGACCAGATCTTGAACCACGACAGGCACTTCTGACCAGATGAGGAAGGCATCAAGAAACTTGGGATCATGTCTTAGAGTCTGTTTTGAGGACCCCATTCAGAACCTTGCTGCTCCTCCCCCCGCCTCATCCCTCACACACGACATCCGGAGACAGGGTCACGAGTCACACATACCAACGGGCAGGGCGCATCTAATCCAGGAGCACCCTGTTCTCCTTTCTCCCCTTTAGGCCCCTTTTTGCCTTTCTTTCCCTTTTCCCCCTGCGGAATACAAGGGTTTAAATGAAAGACGGGTTTCACTTTGGGAAGGGAATGACAAGTGAGTCAAAAGATGGCTTAGAAGAGTCTGGAAGGTCATTTACCACGGTGTTTTGTGCTTTAGAGGAGGCATGATACTAGGAAGACCATTGAATGCTCTGCGTCACAATGCTGTCTGCAGTATGTGGGATGTGAGATACTCAACAAGACAAAAGGCAGAAATCTAGAAGGCTGAAACCCCAGAAAAGCAGATTGGGGTTGAGATCAGGGTTAACTTAACACAACTCACTCGCAATCATTGTGAATTAGAAGCCGGCCCCTTTAGACCTAGTTAGGATGACAGATATCAATTGCACTGAAAAGCCAGCCAGTGGCAGAATCCTGGATATTTCACCCAATTTTCAATACCTGTCAACTTGCTTTTCTTGTTATTTCCCTAATCCTGTAAAATAGGAAGGCTACGCTGAATCAGAGGAAAAGGGACGATGATCAGGAGCATGTATGCATCTCTTTGAAACATATCCAATCGTAGGATATTTTGGCAGCTCTCATTAAAAAGTATTCACTGTATTTAAATGCACTTCTCTTGCTTTTGAAAATTTTCTTTCTTACAAAACTCAAAGCACATAGTTTCCTCATTTAGTCAGGTAAACAAACGTTCAAAGGGGCTAATACTTTGCCAAAATACAGATGGGAGAAACAGCCATCTATCAAGCTAGGGGTCTTCTTTAATTTATTGTCTGATTGATCTCATGCCTGGTGCTTACAATGGTAAGTGAGATTCCAGCTTACTCAACAAGGAAACAAAAGCCAAAAAATTCTGCTGGAGAAAGGAAAGACAGTTTGGATTCAATAAAAAAAAAAAGAGATAGGCAGGATAATTATATAGTGGGAATGTAGCCATGGAAATTAGTACTTGGAAATCAAGGAAAAGGTTGTGGGAACTCTACATGGATCCTAGGGACAGAGGACTGAAGGAAAGGAGGCAAAAGGAGGGGAAGGAAGGAATGCACCTCAGCTGTTTCACATTAGCATGAAGAACTCGGCACATTTACAGACGGAGAGTTGGTGCTGTACAGAATACAAATATGATGTGATACATATTTAAGTTAGTGCATTCATTCTGAAGTCAGGATGGCAGTTAACAATGAAAGTGACTCATCTTGGAAGCCAAGAGGATGCTTATGCAGGAGTGAAAAGACATAGACGACAGAGACATAGTAGATACACGTTCAAATTAATACATTCATTCTGACAGCCTCAGTGAAAGCGCCTCATTTATCTCCTGTGTGCCAAAAAGAGGATTGCATCAGAAGGCTCAGAATCAAAACCACTTGGGTCTCTCACATATGAGGGGAAGGGAAATTCGGTGTGGTTTATCATGATCTAGGGCGGGGAAGGCAGGGTGAAATGGGAACAGATAGGATGGGAACATGGGAGGGGCATTCAGAAGTTGTTTGCTCTTGCCCATCCTTCCTTAGTGACTTCAATGCCCTGAGATCCATTGGTTTAAACTTCGAAGAGGAGCTCTTTCCTCCCAGAAGGAGGCGTAACTGACATCAAGGGCCTCTGGTGTCAATTTGGAATCCATTATTTGATTGGTCAATCAAGATTAGCCATTTAACACAACAGCGTTGGCATATGTGTTACTGTGCTAGGCATTGAGAATCTTTTTTTTTTTTTTTCCTCTGTCACGTTAGTGAACAGCAAGCTTAATGGAAAAGGCACTAATGTACAATGAATGCACTGATGTTCTTAGTAATCAACCTTGCTTTGTCATATGCACTGATGACCCATGCAACCGGAACTTATTGTCATTGTGGGCATAAGCATATGAGAACTCTTAAATGTTTTTTTACTTTTGCTGGTTCTGAGGCTTGAAGTCTTGGCCTGGGCACTGTCCCTGAGCAACTTTTGCTCAAGGCTAGCACTCTACCACTTGAGCCACAGTGCCATGTCTGGCTTTTTCTGTGACTTAATTGGAGGTAAGAGTTTCACAGACTTTCCTGCCTGGGCTTCATACATATTTAGATCTCAGCCTTCTGAGTAGCTAGGATTATGGTCTGAGCCATCAGCACCCGGCTTCTGCTTATTATTATTTTTTCAGACAGAATTTCACTAATTCTTTGCCTGGGGCTGGCCTTAGACTGTAATCCTCCTACTTAGGTTTCCTGAACAGCAGAAATTACAGAAACACATCGCCACATTCAGCTTATTTGTGGTGATGAGCTAGCCTTGAGCCATGGTCCTTCTGATCTCTGTCTCTTGAGCGGTATTGCTACCAGGGGCTTGAAAGATTGTATCTAGAGATCAGAATTGTTATTTTATTTTTTACTGTGCGAGATAATGCCTTTATTTCTAGCAGCGGAGACCTGGTTCTTTGGATCAGGGATCAGTGTGTTTTTGGCACACAGGACTGAGGTAGACAAGGTGCTGATAGAGTCCACAGGTTCAGCAGAAATGAAGACACATGTGAGCAAAGGCATGCAAGACCCATGCTGGCAGGGACATTACCTTTTCTCCCTTTTCACCTATGTCTCCCTTTTCACCCCGTGGACCAGGGAAGCCCTGGAAGAGAAACAGCACATCCAAAAGATCTATTAGTGCACTGGTGGCAAAATGAGATGGAGAGTAGGGGAAAAGACACAGCTTAGGATTTCATTGATCTGAAATCAGACAACAAAATGGTATGCCAAACAATGGTAGAACGTTGGTAAAGTAGCATGTAGAAACATAATGTTTTAACATCTCAATGATCTATACACAATGAGTCTCTAGCTTTCTTTCCTAACAAATGTAGAAGGAGAGCATATCAGAATACTAGTTTGAGTCCTGGCACATTCACTGACTCTGAGGGCTCAAGTAAATCACTTCTGTGCTTTAAAAATTAGGGCCAATGGCTATGTACCACATGGCTGTTAATGATTATTGGATGCAGTGATGTATACAAACTACCAAAATGATACTGCATATAACAAGTGCTCAGTACGCAGCAACTATTATAACTTTTGTTATCGTCATTAGTTACATAAAACAGGAATAAACAGTAATTGCTTCTAGAGACACTTATTTCTGACAGTATTTTTATACAATTACATTAGTGGAAGAGAAAATATATGTGGGGACTTTATGGTAAGTGGAAAAGATAGAGCACACTTGCTTTGAGGAAAAAAAAAAAAAACTAATGCCCTGAGAGGTATTTGATTTTATGCATCTTTTTTTTCCCCCATACATGGGTCATGCTGATGTTGAATGTATTTGGGAAAGCATTCTGAAATGACACTGTCAGTTACTAATTTTATGCCAGATAGTTAGATATATTTTATATTTGTCTCATGCAAAAATGAGTGTATTTTCTATTGCTGTCTACATGCACAGCAATATATTCTATGCATAGAATATGCATAGATAAGCAAGTGGTCTTGCTATTTTGTCAGTTGTGGTGCTTGAACTCAGGGCCTGGGCACTGTCCCTGAGCCTCTTTGTGCTCAAGGCTAGCACTCTACTACTTGAACCACAGCGCCACTTCCACTTTTTGAATGGTATCGGAGACTTTCTGCCCGGGCTGGCTTTGAACTTTGATCCTCAGATCTCAGCCTCCTGAATAGTTAAGATTACAGGTGTGAACCACCAGCACCTAGGTGGTCTTGGTAGTCTTAATGATGGAGACCATCAGCATATGTGACATGAGAAGATGTTTATTGTATGTTTTACTTACATCAAGACCAGGCTCTCCATCTTTCCCCTGCCAAAGAACCACAGTAGCTACATTAGTGTTCCTAAAGTTTCACGAACAGGTTATTTTATTTAAGACTGCTGGGACATGCAACTCAAGTATTAGAATAGCTACTTTGAGAATGTGCAAAATAGCTCTTATTGATGACTAATCTGAAATCTAAAATTAGTACCCGAGTCAAGTGACGTGACTAGTTAGAATTATAGTTAGGGTCATAGAAATTTTACATTTGGCACTGGGTTAAATAGAGTATATTGCTGAGGATTAATGCTTTCTATGCAGGTTATCAGCTTAGGAGTAGAGTCAAGAGTAAAAATATTGTTGTTATACTACTAATGCCAGATGCAAATCATTGCACTTAATTAGCTTATTAATGACCTATTCACACAAGTGAAATAATGTAACAACTGTTTATTGTCAAGTATAGTTGTAATTTGGCTAGATATGGACCAGAAATATAAAGGGTGTGAAGTGTTACAACCTAGAAACTTTTTCAATAAGTGTTGTAAATAAATCATTCCCAAATATAAAAAGGGGTGGAAGACCCTGAAGTGAAGCTGATAATTTCATCCCTAGCATAGATTATTCTATTCTAAACTGTGGTCATCCTCTAGATCAAATCAATGTTCCCAGGAAAGCTACTTTGATTCTATGGATGAAAATTTTTCTATCTGTCTCGAAATCAGTATTTTTTTTTTTTAGTATTGAAATCACCATGGCTTAAGTTGATTATTTAGTCCATAAGAAGTATGTAAGTACAGGAAACTTGAAAACCTTAATACAGGCCAGGCCATATTCCTTTGTGTCTTATCCTGCTGAATGGATGATCATCACCAGAAAGATGTTCTATAGTAATCTCAGGGCCTCAGGTGGCTCTGGACAAGGAATTTTCAAAAGCTAGAACACGACCAACCTTCGATGTTCTCAAGGTCATTGGTCCTCACAGTCATATACAAGGGTCAGACATACAAAGCCATCAAAGAACATCCATTCATTTTTTTTGGGGGGAAGTGATCCTTTCACTCACAAGAGGTTATCTTTTAGGTGATCATACAATCTATGAGAACAAATAAAGCATGAAGAAGGTTGTTGATGATGAAACTTCCACTCTTTTGGGATTCCATGACCCCTTAAGGAAGAGGCAGGGCTGAGCCTCCAGCTAGATCATGTGGGGGAAGTTATTATCTGAGAGAATCAGGTTTGTGCTGCTGTATATCCCATAGTCTTGTGGGGGTGCATCTGTTGGGACATGTCTAGAATGACTGTCCATGAAGGTGGCACCTGCTTGCTAGGGAGCTACCTGTGACCGACCAGGGAAGGGTTAACCGTGTGAGTGACAGGTTACAGGTGGGTGCATGCTGGAGGTGACAACCGTGAACGCGATAGTGACTCACAGGTAGGCCGTAGGGCCCTCTGGGTCCAGGTTCTCCCATGGCGCCTTTTTCCCCCTAAAATGAAAAGGAGAAAGTTCACATCATACATGAACACTTACATTCCTCCACCTTCTCTTATGGCCTGTATATGAAGCCTCCATTTTGGGGTACTATTCTATCAAAATGCCAGAGAGCCAGAATCCTGTGGGACTATGGGCAGTGATGCCGTGGAAGGAATTCACAGTGGATTCCTTCCTTCAAGGGTCTTGGAGAGAAGGGGAGGAAGAGACTACTGCTGCCTGCCTGCCTGCCTGCCCAAAGGATTTGCAGGTCTGGGATGCATTAATATAAAATTAACACAAAAAAGGGCTATTCATATAAAATAGGGACTCCTGCTGGGCACTGGTGGCTCACGCCTGTAATCCTAGCTACTCAGGAGGCTGAGATCTGAGGATCATAGTTCAAAGCCAGCCTAAGCAGGAAAGTCTGTGATACTTTTATCTCCAATTAACTATCAGAAAACTGGAAGTGGAGCTGTGGCTCATAGTGGTAGAACACTCTATTTGGACAAAAAGAGCTCAGGGGCAGCGCCTAGGCCCTGAGTTCAAGCCCCATGGCTGACACCCCCCCCCAAAAAAAAATCCCCTCATTATTATTTTAAGGTATAGGTTGAATATCTCTTATCTGAAATACTTGGGACTAGACATGTTTTTGGAATTTGGAGTATTGGCATACATACGATGAGGTACTTTGGAGACAAGGCTCAAGTCTGTGGCTCACACTTGTAATCATAGTTAAATGAAGAGGCTGAGACTTAGAGGATTGTGATTTGAAGCCAGCCTAGGCAGAAAAGTCTATAAGACTCCTACCTCCAATCAACCAGCAGAAAGCTGGCTGGAATCATGGCTTAAGTGGGAGAGCACCAGTAATGAGCAAGCAAACTAAGCAAGTATAAGGCTGCTGAGTTCAAGCCCTGGTATGTGTGCACAAACACACACACATTCATTTTATATACAACTTATATGTATTCATACTGTTTTTAGTGCATTTATGTTTCTATTTCAACCTGCCAGCTGAAGTCAGGTGTGCAATTCTTCACCCATGGTATCATCTTGGTACTTAAAAGGTTTTAGATTTTGAATTTTGGCGTTAGAGATCTTTAACCTATATTACTTAAAAAAAAAGTAAGAATACTCCTCCCTCCCCATCAAATGTCTTTTCTTCTGCCAGTCCTGGGGCTTGAACTCAGGGCCTGGGTACTGTCCCTGAGCTTCTTTTGCTCAAGGACAGTGCTCTACCACTTGAGCAACAGCACTACTTCTGCCTTTTTCTTTTTATGTGGTGTTGAGGAATTGAACTGAGGACCTCATGTATGCTAGGCAAGCCCTCTACCACTAAGCCACATTCCAAGCCTCTCAAATGTCTCTTTAGAGAAACTTTTTTTTGACTGTCTCTCTTCTCTTTATCCAGCTGCGTTTTACTCCACAGGCACATCTGAATGTTGTGTGTATTCTGTTGTTCCTGCTACTACAATGGACACACCGGGCTCTCCTGTTGTTTCCTTTAGCATCGCTGTGGTTTAGTACAGTGCGCAGCACATAAGTAAATATCAGTTGACTCCATGAATTAAGTCAACTCAGTATCATAGTCTTACATGTTTGCTTCCTTTCTGAAAAAAATGGGTTGAAAACTTTTAATGTGCTCACTGAATGCTTGGGAGTGTAGAATTCATATTACCTCCATCAGTCTTTGCCAGTGCTGATTTAAAAGAAGAGCTTGGTCCAGCTTCAATGATAAATTTGCATGCTTATAACGTAAATGTGGTACTGCCGGTGATCCCAGGGAGAGAGAACAGTGCAAAGACAGAGCCCTTCCTCATTTCAAATAAGGTTTTCATCAGCTTCCAGATGAAAGTGATACTGGTATTTACCACAAAAGTTTCAGGTGTCATTGTGATGTTTATGTGACCAGGCTTAACACCTGTGAAGCTTAAAAGTTAGCACCGATAAGTGTCCATAAAAGGACACGGCCTACCTGTGTGCCACTGAAAACTGCCTGTATGAGGACATGGCCTCCCACAGCACCTGCGTGCCCCAGCTTCCCACACAAGCAAATCTCAAGGCCCCTGTCCTCATTCTTGCTTTGCATTTTCTAATAATGCACTATAACTGCATTCAGCAATAGGAGCAGGTTTGGACTGGGACCTTCCCATTTCAATTCTGCTACTTCCTATGGCCAAGATACCTGAGTTATAAAATATGAACAGCAATCTGTAATAATGGTTCTCAAGATTAAATAGTATGTGAAAGTGTATAACGGCAGGTCACAGGTGGCATAAACAGTTGCTGATAGTAGTATTAAATCAGAGGTGATATTGTTCATGGAAAGGGCTTCACAACTTTAAAGTGTGCCAATTTAAAATCAGTTTTTGTTTTTTTTTTTGTGCTGGTCCTGGGGCTTGAACGCAGGGCTTAGGCACTGTCCCTTAAAGCACCAGCCTTGAGCAGAAAAAGCTACCACTTGAACTACAGCTCCACACCTGGCTGTTGTTGGTGATTAACTGAAGAGTCTCATGGACCTGCCTGGGCTGGCTTTGAACTGTGATCCTTAGATCTCAGCATCCTGAGTAGGATTACAGGTGTGAGCTACTGGCTTCTCCATAGATCATTTTGATACCCCTAGTCCCTCCATGGAGTTCTCCATGGAGAACACTGGATTTGTTTTGGTTTTAAGATGAATGCAAATAAAGTGGTCACGGTGGAACTCCTCACCCCAAATCATTATTGGAAGCAAATAAGGCACTCCCAATTCTCTGACTAATGAGTTGAAGTGGACAAATGACCCACTGCTGGCCAAGGAGGCATTGCTAGTGAGAGTGTTAAGTCAACTGGAACTACTAGAGGGTGGTGTCCCCCCGTTCTTGGAATCTCTCTTCACTGGAGGAGAACTCTGTCCTCTGCTCATGTCCCAGGAGGAAGCTCGGGACTGACAAAGCAGTAAAGTAAACCCTCGAGCCTTTCTTTGCCTGTTTGTTGTATGAAACAATCCATTTTTAGCCATTTTGAACTAGGGTTCTGTCCCTTAGAACCAAAGGCATCAATCTCGACTTCTTTTAGGAATAAAATACTAGCACGGAGATTTGATTGTACAACTCTTCCTAGAGTAGGCAAAGTACTTTTGAGGTTCTTAAACCTAATGCACTACAGGGTTCCGAATCAGTGCACAAGGAAAAATCAGCTGAAGTGGGGTGTTCGGGATTGCTGCACACTGATGCTGTCAACCAGGCATCTGGGAAATTGTGAGTAATAATGTGTTGAATGCCTCATTTCTTTTGCACTAGCCTAATTGCTTTGTTTAAATTATCTGAGTAGTTGTACAAGGGAATTGCTGTTCCACAAAGCCATTTATGGTTACAGTGCATCTTGATCAATGTCACCCCTTCGATCGTTTCCCCCCATTCTTCCCAACCCACCCTTTACTCAATGTTCGTAATGCCAGAGGAGGTACACTGCATTTTATGACTGCATTCTTCCCCCTTTCCTCTCTTCATTGGATCAGTCTGGTTGCATTCAAACTCTGATTTGCATATCTGAGCTGAGAATTATTCTAGAGTTCTCCCTTTGCAGATTTCTACATCTTTAAATTCGGAATCTTTCCCAAGAGACTCCAGCTGCCACATGATTAACTCTGAGCACCCCACTTGAGTTCAGCACTTGTGGGGTGACAGCCACTTGGGGGAGATGGACACATGACCCAGCAAAGACAGCATGCAGGAGAAATATGAGTGGAACACTTTGCCCTGGACACACCATCTGACTGCAGCTAGCCTTTCACAAATTCTTAAGTGATTTCATTTGTTCTTCTGGTCAGTTCTGCCCTGGCCCTGAGATCTGATACTCTAGTGGATGCTACAGCTACCGGATGTAACAGCTGATTTACTAAACCATAAACCCTCTTGAGCCTTAGGGCATTTTGCCAAGAGACTGCCTGAGATTTGCGGCTCCAGTTTTAGCACATGGGCTGGGTTTCTTCCTGCAATGCTTAGAAGCACGTGTGCTTGAGCAACGTTGAGGCTCTTAGCTCAATTGCTCCGAAACATCTTTAATGAAGATGATGCTCAGGGGCTGCTTTGATCTTAGAAAGGAGGCAACAGTAGATTCAGAGCACATGTCCCTTTAGGACTAATCTCCTTCTAGAACCATTCTTGCATAAACTCTGTATGTCTAGCCTTTATTTGTATTCACTTTGGCCTCATTCTTTGGCTATTTCCTGCATACATTTTTTCCCCCTTTTGCAATTAGGTTGTAAAGTCGTCTAGGTCAAGGAAAACCAGCTGCTTCCTTCGCAGGACTGAGCCGATGTATGTATTAATAAAGGGCTGGATGATGAATCTATTAGAATGGTATTATTCAACACACGGGAGCAAATGAGCAGTGCAGGCTTGCTGTGAGGAGGAGTACTGCTGCCTTTCACACAAGGAGTAAATATCATGCTTTGCATTGGACTAGTATTTATTCTATGACCGGGTTTAGTTTGTAGATCGTAGCATTAAATGAGAATTAGGAGCAGGTCAAAGCAATTACTCCTCGGTTCTCTTTTAGAGCTAAAACGATCCCAGATTGATGAAAGCTGTCTAGTGTTTGAAAGACCACAAACTGGCACAGTGAACCGTGCCAGTATTTTAAAGTTCCTCACTTTGGGGGAGACTTTCTTGATATCCTTTCTTGGGTGGTGGGGAAATAATAATTCCACCAGGTACATAATACACACGCACCCTTTTAGTCTGCCAAGGTGAGGAAAAGAAAAAGAGGGAGGGAGGAAGAGAGTTGCAGACAGATGACCAGATATTGATGTGGCAGTACATTTTTCTGTGTCAGATACTTATCTTTGCCGCTGAACGTTGTTTTTTCCTCTCCTAAGAATAGGGAAATATGGTCTAGCAATACTGAGGTTAATAAAGGTTTTTGTTTTATGATGCACTGAAATTATTTCCTCATGGTTAAAGAAAAACAGGCTATTCTTTAGCTTAAAAATGTGGCAGTATATACATATAATTGTGGAGAAGAATACTTAGGTTTTGTAATTTCCTTTGGAAAAAAAATGTTATAACTTACTCTGAATGAATACAGTAGCTTTCTACTAAAGATTATCAACCAGAATATGTAGTTCTGGAAATTTTAGCCCCATTGACTTCAGCGTTCTGGAGAAAGGCCAAATGAAAATATCTTCCTTATGGGTTAAGAAAGAATAATCACAGCTATTTATTTTAGCTATGTAAATGTATGCATTGTTTTTATTAAGGCAGCCCTCCGCTATTTCAGATTGTGGTTTTTCTTCTCAGTGTTAGGACTGAACAGAACTTATATGATGCTATATATTTCCCATGAATACTAGATAGTCCTTTATTTCTTCTGGAAAATGAACAGTAGAGCGAATCCGGGAAAGCCATGCTCTGTTTGCTTTAGTATGCAGCTCGAGCTCAATAAACCCAGGATCAACTTACTCTTTCTCCTTTGGGACCTGCAGGGCCGTGGGGTCCCATAGGACCATCTGTACCCTAAATAAGAGAGAGAAAAAATAAGCAATAAGAGACACGTGTCAAGGCCTACAGGCAAAGCAGTCATGACTTATTTTAGGCTTTTCCTGGTGTGGGTGATGCCTTAGGTGTCAGACCACTCATCTCTTTTCAAAGTGCTTTTCTATTTGATTTTTCTCAGGGAAGTGCTTTTCTAGAAACTGGTGCAAAAGGGATGGGTTACATAACTGAAATGTCCATGAGCGGTATGCACAAAGAGCCATCCAGCATAGGTGTTATATATTTTCTCCCTGCCCAAAGCCAGCATCCTCACTTTGCCTCTGTAATTGTCACAAGAAAAATAGAGCTTTCTTTCCTGTCACCCCTTCCTCAAATTCTTTCATCTACTGCTGCCCTTGGCCAGACATGCTTGGCTGCTAAGTGCCTTCCACAGCTCTGCAAGTGGAAACATATATTCAATGGAGCAGTGTTTAACTGTCCAAACCAAGCAGGGAAGGAATTATTTTTCTAGGTTCTGCAGCAGTGGCTGTAATTAGCAGGCTCACAAGTTGCAAATTAGGCAAGCGGAATAATTTAATGGTAGCAATGTCTGGCTATTTGGTTAGGCCAGGGCATTTCAGAAATAGAGGAGGCAATATGTGAATGGAAATAATGAAAATAAAGTGAACTATAGGAACAATTTCAGTATAATTTCTTTCTTTTCTTTCATGCTGAAGATTGATAACTTGGGGCCTCAGGCTTGCTGGGTAGATGTGCAACCACTTGATCCACGCGATCTGTCCCTTTCTACATTGGTTATATTCCAGGTAGGGTCTTGCTTTATGCCTAGGCCAGCCTGGGCTTGGATCCTCCTATGTTGTTGGGGATAATAAGTGGATGTCACTGCACTCACTGGTGTGGATGGATCCTCTTGGACTGTATGCCTTCACTGGCCTCAAAGGTTGATTTCCTGATTTTTTCCCTCCCAAAGGTAGGCTTGAGTCACTGCACCTGACTAGTAACTACTCCCTTTTCTATTCTCTAGTATTTTGCGTTACTCTATGAGAGCCTTGAGAGCAAAGAATTGAGTCCCAAATTCCTTCTAGTGTTGCTGAGATATCATCATCTTAGTCTTACTGCCTGGACTCAAAGTTCATCTTCAGAAGACTTTTAAATGCTGAGTATCTGCAGCTGAAATGTCAGAGATGGAGCTGTTAAGAGCCAAAGGAAAGAGAGAAAATGACAGGAGACAGGCAAGTAATTCCCATGAGCAGAGACTTCATTCCAAAGATGTTACATTTCTTAGATAGACAGAAACCTAAAAGGAAAAGTTATGTTAAAAACAAATCCACATTGATCTCTTCAGAGGGCCTCTCATGAAATTACAGGGAGTTTTATTGGTTATGGAAAGATGTGTGTGGGATGCTAAGACAAAGGAACCCAATTAGATGGCTCATTCTTTACACCTAGAGAATTATCCAGACTTGAACTTGAGGCTTTCCTTCACGCTGTGCTGCATCCCGTTTTCTGATCATGTGGTCCTTTCTCCTTTCTGGCATCAGTGCTAAGTACCCCCTCATCATCTGAGGAGACCCTGAATCACGCGTTTCTCAGCTGCACAGCATGTCAGAGCAAGATAAGGGACGGACTCACCCGGGATCCTGGCTTCCCGTCTAAGCCAGATGCTCCCTGTGTGATTGGGTTGGTAGCAGGGTTGGTGGGTGTAACACGAATGACAAGAACAGAGATTAGTATGAAGTACCAGTGAACAAAAATGCAACACTTTTAACCACAGAATACACAGTCACAGGATTCTGGAATGAATAATCACATGGCTACAATTTGTTAGTTTCCAAAACGAAAAACTAAACAACAAACCACATGACAATAAACACCCCACAGAGGATGGCATTTTAATGACATTCCTATTAGGCAAATTCTCACTTAGAAATCAAGTGAATGAGAGTTATAGAATGTGCTATTCCCAAAGTAGCTACTGGTCAGTAACAGTCAACTAGCTAAATTTTGGTATGAAATTCACTTTTTTGAAAGACAACCATTCACAATCTATATCTGAGGCATTGAAGATATTAGGTAATAAGGAGAAAAGCTTACTTTAAAAACCAATTTTAAGGTCTTAGAGAAAAAGGGAGCTGTAACTACTACATGTGTTAGAAATTTTATGGAGAACAAATACTTGGTTTTCCTATGCTAGGATGACTGGATTTTTCTAAGATTATTTAATATTTTCTGGGCGGTTCCTGCTAGTCACCACTAGAGGGACTTCCAAGAACAGGGAAAAAAAAATCTGTGAGACTATGGTTAAAAATAGTTCCCCAACTAAGTTATTTCTCCATTTGCTTCAAATAAGCCTTGTATCACAGCCTAAAGGAGAAATGCCTTTAAAAAAAATCTAATGTTCTAAGACAATGAATGCATGCATTTCTTTACCTTGAATTCTAGGCAATTGTATGTGATCAAAATAAGTTCAATTGCTTTAAGAAAGCTTTTGTGTCTTATAAGCCCAAGTATTTATAGTACTTGAAAGATGCTGATGAGATGGAGTGTTTAAGAAGAGGATGAATTAGCTTTGCAAGTTCTCTTGACAAGGGTGTAGAACTCTTCCCCAACTTATGCTTCGGAGGTGAGTGAAAAAAATATTCTAGGTGCTCTTGGCTCATGCTTGTAATCCTTGCTACTCAGGAGGCTGAGGATCATGGTTCAAAACTAGCCCAGGCAGGAAAATTGGTGAGACTGTCACCTCCAATTCCACCAAAAAGCTGGAAGTGGAGCTGTGGCTCAATTGGTAGAGTGCCAGAGAAACTAAGCAACAGTGTCCAGGCCTTAGTTCAAGCCCCAGTACTGCCTACACACACAAATCCCAGCTGCAAACTGCCAAATGATACTCTATAATATACCTTTAAGTATTTCATCCTATGATGATCCATTACTATAATCTGAAATATGTTTTACTTATCAGTGATTAAAGACATGTATTGGTATTTGGTGTTCACTTAATCAGGCCAAAGTACAGCTTTTGACTAAATGCTACACAAAATTATCATTTGAAATGAAGTTTAAAAAAATCAGATGAAAAGTTTAGGAAATCCAAACAGTTTTTCCTTTGGATATTTTCTTCAGTCATTATTACTATATTTGAAAATAATCAAGAAAATGACAAGAATTTTATATTGATAGTACACCTGCCTAGAGAGGTGAGTAAATAGTTCACATACGTTATAGCAGTTAAATCTACACTGTGGAGGGCTTCTGTTTTTCACTCGAAGAGTGAATTCATGGGCAACATGTATTGTGTGCCTGATGTACCCACTGGCTTTCACTGCTGTATCGGGTACAGTGGGGTACTTTCATATTTAAGCACAGTACTCATAGGAAAAAAATGAGTGTTCATCAACTTTCTTCCCTCCTAAATGTCAAACAGATGTAGGAACTACTTTCTATTTGTTTTATGTCAACTTTTACTAATGTAAACAGGCAGCATATTAAAAGCTTGGAATGAAACCGTCATATTCAGTAATAATTTTAACAAATCTTTTTAGTTGTGAAAAAAAGGCTGGTATATAGTACAGACAAAGGGAAATCCCCTTTTCATTAAAAAAAGACCTCTAAATCTTCCTTGCTATCTATATTGTCAAAATACCCTCCTCACAGTATTTTTCTAACAAATGATATAAAACATGTACAACATGATGTGACTGATTAATGTCAGGAGTACAATGCTGACGTCATCAACAATGGCCCATTGCATACCTGCCACCAACACACGGCTATAGTTTTGGCCTTTGGGGAGAAAACTATCGAGGGATGGTCTTAAACTGTACTAGATCATAAAAGCATCTGGGAGAAATTACAAAATTGTGAGCACAATACCATGTGTGGGTGTGCCAGTTCTGGGGCTTGAACTCTGGACCTGGGCTCTGTCCCTGAGCTTTACTGCTCAAGGCTAGCACTCTACCACTTCCAGCTATTTTGGTGTTTAGTTGGAGATAAAGAGTCTCAGGGACTTTGCTACCTGGGCTGGCTTTGAACTACAATCCTCAGATCTCAGCTCCCTGAGTTGCTAGGATTACAGGACTAAGCCACTGGCACCAGGCTGAGAACAGCACTTTTTAGAGGAGGATGGAAGGATTGTCAGCCCTGAAAGAGGGTTGGCACGCATGTAACTGAGAATGACAGACATTTGTGGCACTGTTATGGGATAGCAGATATTAGAGAAAACAAAAGTACGCCAAACTCTCCTCTGACTTAATGTTTTCTAATTACACAAATCTCAACCATAAGGTAGCAACTCTATTTGGAGGCTATGTAAGGTAGAAAGAAAAATCTGAGGTTCGCACTGAAATGGAAAGTTTTCTTTACTTACTGGAAGACCAAGGGGGCCTCTGTCTCCCTTTTGACCTGCTTCACCCTTCAATCCTTTAACACCATTTAACCCTGGGTCACCCTAAATGCAAAAGCAAATGCCAATTTTGGTTGCTATTATGGGTGTGGCAACTGGGAGAGAAGAGAGCCAGTCTCTGAAACATGAATACAGATTCCAGTTTTGGGTGCCTGCAGAGTTGGGCTAGATTTGTGTTACATCATTTCTAAAGTCAGTTTTTTAAAAATGGGGCTGGGGATGTAGCTCAGCAGTAGAGCACATTTGGCTAGCTGGCTGAAGGCCTTGGTGTTCAGTCTTCAGCATCCTCCCTCCCCCCCAAAATATTCAGATTGACAGGTAGATAAGATTCTAGAAAGCAAAACTCCATCTGAGCAAAGTGTGCTCAAATACATGCCTGTTCCTGGATTTTTGAGTTCTATCACACCCATATGAATGCCACACTGCATCCCTTTGATTAAGCAAATGGACAGCAATCAGAATGCTGAAGGAGACTCAGCAGCAAAAGCCCACTCTGCTGCAATAGAAAACTGGAATATGCAGGACAGTGCAACAACAGACATTTTAAGCCTTTAAGCATTTTGCCCAGGAAAATGAGCCATACACATAGCGGTTGATGTTTGAAGCAACACCATTTGTCAAATTCACTAATAATGCCAAATCAAGTGTCTGCGTGGATTCACCAATAGGGTTGACTACATATCACTGAACAAGGAAGTGAAGACGAAGATCAAAGAGCCTAAATGTTGAACTGTCCATCTGCCCTATGTGAAGAGTCAAGGAGGCAAGAATATAACTCGCCACTAACACCACATAGCACAAGAATGGGTGTATCTTGTGAGTGTCCAGTTGGGAAACAAATACAGAATTAGATCCATCCTTAGAACCATGTCATGTTTTGAGGGTCAGAGAGGGAGAGCCCTATCTATCAGAAGGGCTAGGCGTTTGAAGTCTGGAATTCTCAGAGTAGGAATCCAAACATGCTAAGAGGTAAGGTTGGATCCTCAGAAGAGCACAGGGTCATGGTCAACAAGATGAAAGCCAAGGTTCAGTAGGCAACTTCAGTCACTAGGCTTGAGACTTAGAGCTTTCTGTGCGTGTGCACGTTTGGTGGGTGGTCTTGAGCTGATAAACAGGCAAGGGCAGCCGTGGTAAACGATGCTGTTCTTTGGTGGATAATCGTGGTTGACTGGACCAAGGCCATTTTGCAAACATGAAATCCAGTAGAACAAAGACCAGATTTCAAATTGAGGCCCGATCTTAATCCAAGATCTGATATTAACCACCTGTAAAATGTCAGGCAAATAATGAAAATTCCTGGGTCTGTAGTTTATCAGTTGTATACATCAAGGAACAAGCAAGCATAGGATATCTGTGAAGAGAGTTCTCTGCTTATCTGCACAATAAATAATTGCATTTTAGACATCCAAAGGCTTTGGGCATCTCCTCATTGAATGGAATCCTTGATGGTACTTTCAAATCCAAGGAGAAGCCCAGAATGGGAAGCATGAGTTTAGTTCTGGGGGTGAGGGGGAGGCCCAGAGAGGTTGAGTAACTATGCACATTACAACCTGAAAGATGGGACTCTCTTTTCTGACCCCCCAAAATAGTATTCTACTAAAACACTGTCACTCCCTGGCATTATGGGAGATAACATTTTTTTAGAGGAGGTGTGAATTCTTTCCATTCTTGGTATGTCATCTGCCTGTTCCCCAAAAGGAAAGTCAACATTTCCTGAGGCATACCAGTCAATAGCTACTACCAACTCTTTATGTGGACAGACTAGAAGGAAGCCAGTCTTCATCTCACCAACAGCCTCGGGGCTTTCTGATGCCTAGTGCCAACACTGTGCTGCATATTGTCCCTGAGACCTACATAAAGGCCAAGAACACACACAGAGACTATTTCACAATGTAAGCTGCTCTAATTCTGATAAGTGGGGCGACTCTCCACTGCTCTTTCTAACCCAATGCCTATTAATACTTGTAAGGGATTAAAAACTAAAAACCTCCATACCATCAGAGACCTGGCTCTCTGGACAATGAAAGCATGTGGATGATGGAGTACTGTTTATTACACAGCAAGCAAGATGTTTCAGTGAAGAACCAACCAAGCTAGAGAACCGCGAAAAAGAAAAAAGCACCTGGATTCATCTGAGAATCTCATCAGACGACTTCTGAATGGTTGACTATTGAGCCACATTCCCAGTCCTGTTTCTTAAATATATAGTGACAAGGAAAAAAGTAAAAGGCAGAATAGTGGACTTGCAGATGCTACCACTTAAGTTGCTGAAATTTAAATGTGAGCTTTACGTACCACAATGCTTAAAGGCTTAAAGATTATCAACGTTTCTTGACAAGGAAGACAGGACAGACATGCTTCCGTCATGCTTTTCCACAATCATCAAGGAAGCAGAAATCAAATAATCAAGGGATTTGTTGAATTACCTTTGGTCCAGGAAGTCCATGGGGTCCCTGCAAATCGAAAACAGTTTTTAATTAAGAAGTGATGATACAGATTTGCAGCACAAGTGAATATTATATCAAATAACCAAAAGGTAGCTTGTTTGTGCTATAGCTAAAGGCAGGCAGACTCCTGGATGTTATTTATTACCCACCCAAACATTCCTTCCTGCTTTTGGACTGTGCTGTAATAGGAAATTCATTAGTAGCAATTCTCTCTGCTAAATACCTATGTGAAAGAGGGAGAAAGCTACCAGGGTTACATGGATGAAAAATTAGGGGGGTGGAGGAAATGCAATTTTGAATTTATATTACTCCTTCTCAAGTTTCCACTGAAAATTTGTGTGTGTGTGTGTGTGATGTTTCATGAGTTTACTCAGAACGGAAGGACTTGAAAGTCAGGAGTGCTAACCTTCAGCAAAAAAGCTCAGGGACAGTGTACAGGCCCTGACTTGAATTCCCCTCTCCTCCCCCCCCCAAAAAAAAAATCCAGGAATGTATCAAATCAAAGCAAAGTCCTATACTTTAACTAGCAAGGAAGAAGAAAGCTTTTTCTCCTTAACAACTCCATACCCAAGGTATTGAAGGATCTAAAGGGGACAGGAAGTAAGGACATGGTAGTGAACTGTGGGATTCCAGCATCATCTTTTTGACATTAAGAAGAGCTAAACATTATTTGTATTGCTTTTAGTTTTACACAGAGGAATTGTTTAAGGCTCATGAACAACTGTTTTATGAAATCAGAATTTAAAGAACTCCACACATTTGGTAGAGGCAAAATAAAGATGAATACTTTAATTGGCAGTTGCTTAAACCTTTTCAAATGTTTTAAATAACCTGTTCAGGGAAAGGCATGTTTAAATCTCCATCGGTGAAATACAACAGCAGGAATGATGTTTTGAGCAAGCAGTGCCTAGAGGATTGGTTACATATATCCTCCAGTTTACCTTCAGATAAGTTGTGGATACGCATTTTCAGGAAATGGCTGCCTCATTTCAATAATGGCTTAAAATTCCTGCAAGCTCATTCATTTTATCATCTGAACAGGATGTAGCATTCTAATTTAACCTTCTAAAGTCAAGCAGAGGGAGTATAAACTAAAATATGGGATTTACTTGATTCTTAAGGAATTGTTTTTAAGAAAATTGCTTTTAAGAAAACCAGGTTAATTGTCATGGTTTTGTATTATGAAATAGAAGTGGTAGTTGGTAGATGATTTGACAGACTCAGTGGCTTGGGTCTTTCTAAGCTCTCTTTACACAGCAATAGGAGGAAAGACTGGCTAAAATGTACAATCTGTTATTGGTGACTTCCAGTTTAATGAAGCACCTTAGCCTCCTGCCCTGCTCTCTGGCCCCCATCAAAAGCATTTCAAGCCCTATGCCTGCTCCATTCTAACTGCTTAATATAACTGTCTGACGTTCAGAGAACTAAACATTAATGGCTGACTTCCTCAGTAGGCATAAGTTCTATGAGGACCACTATTTCCATTGGTCACTGCAAGACACTATAATAAGGTACTGGATCTGGCTCAAGACATCCCCAGATCTATGGGAAAGGAAAAAGATATAAAATGTTTGTCATCTGTGGAAGTAAAACGAATTGTGATTTTTGTTTCAGCAAGGCAAAATTTACTTCTGCAGAAGAGTGTGCCATCAGACAGGAATCTGGCCACCAAGCACCAAGCAGGCAGGTTGCTCCACTGTTCATTTGCTAACACAGCAGGCCCCACCCCACAATCTGCTCATGATTGGCTAGTTTGAACAGGGTAAGATGTATTTACATAAGGTGACTATTAAAAGATTTTGCTTTTGTGCTGTTAATTGTAAATCAATCTCAAAACATATCTCAGAGCCTGTGCTATTTCTAGAGCAATCAGGTGTGTTGTAATTCCATCTTGGGAAAACCAGGTAACCTCAATATTTTTTTTTTATTTTATTTGTGAAGATACTGTACAGAGGGGTTACAATTACATGGGCAGGATAATGCGTACATTTCTTACCAAGCATTGCAGCCTCCTCCTTTTGTTTACCCTTCACATCCCTTCCCAGCCTCCCCCCTCCCCCGCAATCCCAATCCTTCTCCTTCCCCCCTTCCCCCCCCCACCGACATTGTAAAGCTTGTTTTGGACATGACAAATTGTACTTCTCATTGTTGCAACAGGTCCACCTGTATCTTTAAACAACTGGTTTTTCCCCATCTCCTCCTCAAGTTATACTGACATAAAATATAGTGAAAGCAGGAGGTAACCTCAATTTTAACCACTGTTATATATATATATGTGTGTGTGTGTGTGTGTGTGCAAGCGTGCACACACTTTTTTTTTTTTGCTGGTCCTGGGACTTGAACTCAAGGCTAGCACTCCAGGCACTTGAGCCACAGCACCACTTCTGGCTTTTTCTAAGTAGTTTATTGGAGATAAAGAATCTGATGGACTTCTCTGCCTGGGCTGGCTTCACATCATGATCCTCAGATCTCAGCCTCCTGGGTAGCTAGGATTACATGCATGAGCCACTGGCACCTAGCTTTATAAATATTCTTACTGGATATTTTGCTGCTTAGAGATGAGAACAGTGACTGGTTAAAAGGATCTGGCAGTGTTCATTTGGCAAAGTTGGTAGAAAGCTTGTCAAATCTGTCTGTCCTCAACTCTCCTATCCCAAAGATCTCCTATCTCTTTTCCCAACACATGTGTGTGTGGGGTGAAAGACATTTTAAAGTCAGTATGTCTCAAAACACCTCGTATTTTTCCGTCAATCCCACAGAGAGTAGTACGAAACACAAGCTGGTTGTTCAGAGGACCCGTGCATGTTTTCTCTGGTAGCATGCTCATAAAGAAAGAATTACATTTTGGAGACAAAGAAAACTTACCATGGGGCCAGGTGGGCCATGGGGACCTGGAGGGCCAGGGGGGCCTATGATCTGTGTATCCAAAAAATAAACATGGATTTGGTTACTTCATTTAGATAAGGCAGTTCAGTCTGGGCCTTGTGCTGGGTCTCTGCTAAGGCCATTAATAGCTTCAGAGGAAGAAGGGTTTTTAGAGAAGTCATGGGTTTGAGTCTCTTAGGTTTAAAAATTCCTCTCAGAGCAAAACAGCTTCAAGAAAAAAAACAAAAAACACCCTACAGTTTTGTTCTACAAAAGCCAGAATAAATCAAAAGAAAAGGAAACAACTTATTACCAAGAAATTCTCTAATGCCGCAACCACTACTAAACTCTCAAATATGTCATGAGGCATAAACAGGGCTGCGGCGAAATGAAGGAATGTGTATTCTATTTTCACAAAACTCTAGCCATGGCGTTATGGGAAACCCATTGATTTTCCTTCTCAGTCCTCGGAGAAATTGCTTCTAACTCTCCTGAGTCACTCAGTCTCTTTCTGTGTGCAAGGCTGACACATAAATTTCTTCTACAGTTTGACAAACCCAAGTGGTCCAGACATCACTACTACTGATAAGCCATCTGGCACAGGTGCAGCTGGGTAAATAATTATACGTGTCAATGTTTTTCAGGAGCTACAGAAGTTAGGGGACTTACAGAAGGACCCTGAGGACCTGGCAAACCGGAGTCTCCTTTCTCTCCTTTCACTCCATTGGCACCCTACAAATAAACAGTAAGTGGAACAAAGCATGTCAAGTTATTTCCAAAGTGTAAAAGACAATGGACTCCCTCTGCCCAAAATGTCATTCTATTGAAATGTTATACTATTATGCACATAAAAGATACAGAAGGATTTACCAAGGAGCTAATAAAATCCTTAGGATTGTGGGTGATATGTAAAATAAGATATGAAATATGTAGAAACTAAGTTGAGCTTGACTGGTTAAAGTTTCACAGCATTAAATACATAGGGCTATAAATGTTACATCTTTAGGGTAGTACTCTATCAATTTTGTGTGTGTGTTGGTACTGGGGCTTGAACTTGGACCCTGGGTGCTGTCCCTGAGCTCTTTTGCTCAAGGTTAGTTCTCTACTTCTTGAGCCACCCTGCCACTTCTGACTTTTGTATGTATGTGTGTGGTTAACTGGAGATAAGAGTCTCATGGACTTTTCCTGCCAGGGCTGGATCCCAACTGTGATCCTCAGATCTCAGCTTCCTGAGTAGCTAGGATTAATGTGTGAACCACTGGTGCCAGGTGGTAGTGCTCATTTAAATAGCAAAAGGCATTTTCTGTTTTCATTGCATTTATTTATATCTTTGTTTTTTTTAAAGGTCAAAAGCAGTAGAATTTAGTACATCAAAAAAATTTCTGCCTAGCACTGGTGGCTCCCACCTATAAATTTGAAATCTGAGGAATGCTGTTTGAAGTCAGTCCAGGCTTATTTCTAATTAACCACCAAAAAGTGGAACTGTGGTTCAAGTGGTAGAGAGCTAGCCTTGGGCAAAAGAAGTCCAGAGATAGCACCCAGGCCCCGAGTTCAAGCCCTAGGATTGGCACAAAATATAGATTTAAAAAAATTTTATATTTCTCCTATGAAATTTTCAGTAAAAATGAGGGAAAAACTATAAAAGCACCATCCCTTATTATATACACAGAGAATACTGTGAGATGACTTGTCTACAATCAGTGACACATGTATACTAAAGGAAAGCGAATAATTACATTTCTTTTGCTATCTCTAGTAGACTATAGTGAAAATAATCCAGAAAAACGTGGTATACTCTGTAATTCACTTAGCCATCATCCTGAAGATTTTAGTTCCTTTGTTGGGGTAATTAACCAAGAATACTTCAAACAGGTCAAAGTAAAGAATACTTCAAACAGGTCAAAGTAAAAAATAACCGTTAACTGTGATCGCAAAGAACGTAATTCCTTACTGTTTGTCTTAGAATACAGCATAAAAATTATAAACATACCGGCAATCCTGGGAGTCCAATTCCTCCTTTTTCACCTGGCATGCCTGTGTCCCCTGTGTCCCCCTTCGAGCCTTTGAGTCCCTACAAGTGACAGGTTTGCATGTAACAAGGGTAGGTGGTGACACATGACAATTCTATCCTGGCAAAAACAGAAGTCCAGATCAATTTCTTAAAGTGGTTGGTCCTCTGCTGAGAGGATTCTGATTTGGGAGTTTGGTAGTTCATCCAACAAACAACCTTTTACATGGAATTCTATTTCTATGAGGTCATTTAAATGTGAAAAATAGAAAATTTAGCTTTTAATATTATTTTGCCAGATTTTATATAGTTCAGGAAGACAATTCTTACTAGTTCAGAAAGCAATTTTATGCTGCAATCCTTCACAGTACAGAATGTGTTGTAAGTCAGGGTCTGGTGGGATAACAGCAGCCCACACAAAGTTTCCAATCTCCACACGTTAGGCATTCCTGCTCCCCTTTATTGTACATGTAAATTCCAGACTTCATTAGTTCTCAGTGGTCCACCTACATTTACTGTACACCGATGCTCAAACAATACTCCAGCTTTTCGTAGTGTTCTTGTTTTGTTCTCCTAATATCTCTACAAGGTGAGCTGGATTGCTATTCTTTACTCTTTTACACTGAGGGAATAGATAAATATGCACTTTTGAATGCTAACACGTAAGAATTGTGTAACATGAACAGTGATAGTTACTTACATTGCTAAGCATTTTTATCCTGGGCACCTTTCTGCATTATGAGCACATGGCTCATTCTCCATATTCTGTAGCAAACATTATCATTGCTGTTGGGCTTCTCAGAGCTGCGTATCTTAGGTCTAATTTACAAGAAAAGACATGTTCCTCTTCCTATTTCATAGGATTTCTAATCCCGAACTATATAATATACTTGGGGATTGGGTAGGTGCCTTCTTAGATAGCTCTTTCTTATTAATTAGACCTTGATTTGTTTTATGGATCTAGGGATAGAGAAAACCAACATGGCCAATCCACTGGACTTTGTGTCAGGAGGATTATAATACCTAAAAAGAAACCCAGCAATTATATACTTAGGGCTACTTGGTAAGTCATTTCTTATTTATAATGACTAACAGTGGGAGAAGTAATCTTAATATGACCTTTGCTTTATATAGAAAATCAAAAAAGATCCTTCTTATCATGTTTATTTAATGCATCATTAGGTGACTTTAACATCCAACTTGGATATTAAAAAAATAGCTCGGGGAGGGGGGATGTAGTTGTAGAGATGGGAGGGAAGGGATGATAGGGGAAAAACAAAGGAGGAGGCAACAATGCTTGATAAGAAATGTACTCATTACCTTGCTCATGTAACTGTAACCCCTCTGTACAGTATTTTCACAATAAAAAACTTAAAAAAATTCTTCTACACTTAATGATCTGTGTGAAAGAAAATTTCTTCTGATGAGTACATGGCTTGTTGGCTTTATCAAGAATCTCCTTGATTTTTTGTTTTAGTTTTAGCCATAAACTATTAACATCTTGAAATTCTTTTGTGGTTTGTTTCTTAATGGCAGGGGTCACTGAATGATAGTTTCTATATCCAATCCAGGTATTGTTTTTGAACAGGCTGAACTTTAAGAAGAGCTGGAACAAAAAAGAATGTGTTGGGGGCTGTTCACAAACAGCACAACTTCAAACATTTTTTTCCTCCAGTCCTATATAGAAGAGTTTGCTAACTTCTGATTTAGGGTAAAGCTCCCAAATCGCTGCTATATTCTGGAAAGCTATCAGGCCCTGACTGTTGGGTCTTTACTAAGGATCTAGGATTGTAAGTAAATTATGTGGAAGAAGAAAAAAAGTAAAAATAACGTATGTTCTAATTCTATGAAAACTATGGTCACTGATTGTAATATTACTTGTACTCACTTGCCCAAATTACCGGGATATATACACTAAATTGGTAATGACCTAACTAGTTTACCAAAAATTTCAGAGTAATTATTGATAAATTGGTCACTAGTTACTAAAAGCAAAATTAAAGTATCTATCTGTTGCTGTTTCTCTAACAAAACTAATGTCTCCTTTAAAGCAGATGCCTTTTTTGAGAGCTTACATTGGCTCTAGGACAGAGGGTGGTGAAAAGGTGGTTGTCATGTATCATTATGAATGACTATAATAAATGAAGTGATCAATAATGATGCTATACATACAGTTTATGTATTTGAAAATTACCTGCTCTCCATCGACTCCTGGGATTCCTGGAGATCCCTGTTCCCCCTGTGAAGATAAAAAAACAACAGCTTATCTTCATCTTATCCTTGTTAACCTATGGTGCAAGTTGGTTAAAAGTACAGTTTGGCTGGGCACTGGTAGCTCATGTCTGTAATCCTAGCTATTCAGGAGACTGAGATCTGAGGATTATGGTTTGAAGCCAGCCTGGGCAGAAAAGTCCATGAGACTATCTCCAATAAAGCCAGAAGTAGCGCTGTGGTTCACTACCCCTGAGCATAAAGAAGCTCAGGGACAGTGCCCAGGCCCTGAGTTCAAGCCCCACGACTGGAAAAAACACACAAAAAAACAGTTTGATTTTAGGAAAGGCATCATACCTGTGAGTGGTAAAAATATTAAAAATCCCTAATAATTTGATTGTTCATCATTCTATAACAAAAACCTATATGATTTGGTTGGTTTTGTCTGTAGAAAATCTGTGTGGTATTTATAGTATTATCAGTCACAAATACACAATGCCTCATGCATTTACAGCATGATAACCAGCCCAGTTTGAATGAATTCATAATAACTCTTGAAAAGCCTCTTTGAAGGAGATAATAAATCAAATAATATCTTCATCCACATAAAATTACCTTTAGATCAATTTCCTATAGTATGCCAGGAATGAAATACAACTTTCAATTCATATTGATTTATTAGCACTGTTGACAAACTCAAACTATACAGATTGATGGTTTTTTTTTCTTTTTTTAAACTAAAGATGTTTCATGAAAACAAATTGGAACAAGATGCTGGAGATTAACCAGGCTACATCTGTTTAGTCACCTTTCAATTTTGAAAAGTATGGAACCAATGAGTTTCTTGAAGTGTAAAACATTTTTAATTTATCAAATCTGTGTAGGTCCTATTACAAATAACCCAGAATTCTGCCCAGTGGCAACTCTGAAACCAACTCTTTGGAGTGTGAGTGGTCTGCACACAGGCAACTGTTTTGAGCCTGCCTTCTAGAAAAAAATTCTGTGTGGTGGTAGGACAAACCACAAGATTGAAATAGCTATTCCTCCTCTACCTGGTAAAAACCTTAAGAGTTGTGGGCCAAAGGACAAAATAGGAACTTTCTAGGATTTAAAGAAGGCTTGATCTTGTTCCAAACAAATGAATTTTTTTTTAAAAGAAAAAACCTTTTCCTCCCTTTAGATTTTCTTGTTAAGTTTCTTTTGCCACTAACAAGTCTGTTGAGGTTGGTTGCACCTGGCTGAATTTTAAGCTTCATTCTGCCTGAACAGCAGTTGGAACTCTGTGGCCACAGTAACTGCTTTGCTAAGGTTGTTGCTTTAAAATGTGACTTACGGAAGCCTAAAAGATAAGTGTAATTCATGCAATTTATTTATCCTTCATATAATTGGTATAGGTTATTTGATTCCCACTAGATCTGTGACTGAATCCAGAGATAAGAATGTACTTTGTATTTAGTAATTGAACCAATACATATCATTAATAAAATAAAATTAAGTAGGAAGGTAGGCCTTCATGATAGAGTCTTCTTAAGCTAGCGATCTTCTCTAGGTATTGTAAAGAAGGGAGAAAGAAGCCTCTGCGGTTTGGGGAAGAATGAGGTTTACATTTGCTTTGGAAGGTAGTTCTGATCCTTGAGATCTAGTCAAGAGAAAAGATAAATGAAGATCCAATGGCCTTGCTTCAATTAAAAAGGAGCCATTTAAATTTAGGGTTGCTTATGAAATAGCTAAATAGTAGATATTTAGGCAGACCTGCTCACTAGGTATAGTGTGGTTGAAGGATATTTTGTCTGTTACATCTCTTAGGAAGTAGAATAAAGTAAAAAAAAAACCTATACCTTTTCTTGTGTGATACATGAAATGCATTTTGTTATACACAAAATCTGATGATAGGATCTATATTCACATAGGCAAAGGCCTCAGTAATATTTTGCTCTATAGTCCTTTAATTGAAAGTCCTTTATTTTGCTCTAAAGTCCCTTCTCTAACCTAGACTTACACTTTTAAATCTACAAAGGCAATGAGTTGGAAAGTTGATGAGTGTGTGTATGTGGGTATGACAGACTTAGCAAATAAACTGACTTAAGAAGCCTAAACAAAGGATGAAGTTTGAAACCGTTTGAACCTCCTACAAAAATCCAATGACGAAAGTCATATTTCAACACGTGTAGCTCAGTTCTGAGAAGTCACAATCCCCAGCCATGTGTTAATTGATCAAACATGGTTGAATGGCTAAGCTTTAGTTAGAAGAAGAAAGCTAGCACCATCAACAGTTTTGGTATAATCAACTTGTACTGGCTTTCTACTGTTTGTTGTTAGTATGAGTCATTAGATAAGAATTTAATGGTGGAAAGAGATGTGTTAAAAACATGATTGAAGAATGATTCCTGAAACTGTCACTTAGGAACACACCAGACAGAAGCATCCCTTGTTCTTTTTATTACAAAAAAGTGTTAGAGAATATTTCTTTGACCCCTAGGTAAATATTTTCTTTTTCTCCCCATATTCTTTGTTTTTCTGTATCCTTCCTTAAATTCATTGCCACTTCCATTTCTTTCCTGATTTTCCTCTCTTCCTTTGAGACCTTAACTTTTTCTTCATTCTCTGAAGAAACATTATTGATCTTCTGTAGCATTTTGTTAAAGACACATACTTACTATGAGCATCTCTGCACTAGATATAACAAGTAGAAACAAATAAAGACTAACCTTTGGCCCTTGTAGTCCTTGAGGCCCAGGAGGTCCAGGGGGGCCCTAAATCAAGAAAAGACACAATTGAAAAAAGTAGCATACAGTATTCAAATTCATGCTTTAAAGAACAAAACACTATACACCTCCCTTATGTCGATAATCAGATATCCCCTGATACTGCCATTCCATAATTATAAAAGCTGTCGACTTGTATGAGCCTATCAACTACATCAGGTCAGCACAACACTGCAGATGTTTCGGGGCAGTTTAAATGCCTCCCATGCTCATATACATGCTCTTGGACTTGCCTTCTTATCTGCATTTTCAAATAACCTATTTTCCTCTCTGTCCCAATGGCTCTGATGTCCAGAACCCTAAAGAGCAATGCTAAAACTATTAAGAGAAGGCTAAAAAGGAGTTTTCTTTTAAAAAAAATAATATTTTCTCTTGATTTTTTCCTTTCATGAAACAGATTCAACAAGGGTAAATATTTTAAGGAAACATAAAATTATCACATAAAACAATTACTGCATTAGTAATACCTTCGACCTGCATGCATCAACACTACAAGTCACACAGCACAGATAGCATGCAATAGGAGTTACCGTGACAGTTAGGGTGGTAATCCTCTGTGGGGAAAACGTATTAACAAAGATAGAGTTACCTATTTTGTGTGCCAAAAGTACAATAATACATTTCTGAGAATAACCTAGCCTTTTGAATATGTTTTGGCAAGTCTAATGTCTTAATAAGGAACAGCCAAGGGTCTTCAACACAGTCTAATTGCAAATGTTTTTTTAAAAAAGTATTTTCAGAATTTAGTGGACAGGTAAAGTTAAGAGTCACATACACTAGAGGTTGGTCAGCATAATTTGGGAAATTTGCTCTTGATTAAAAGCTCTATTGGGGTGACATTATTGTATTCATAAATGGCTTTGTTAAATGGAAACTCCTTTGTACAACTACTTAAAGGTAATAAAAAGTAAAAGTTCTATGCTAGAGAACAATTAGAGAAAATGGAAATACTCATTTGCATATCTTTTCTCCTTCATACCTCATTTGCTGCATTATAATTAGCCTTTTTCTTAGGTGAGACAACTCAAGAGGTTGGCATGGAGTTAAACTAGTTTCTTAAAATGCTACAGTACTTCGCCAAAATACATTCAAAGTAGAAATTTCTAACATATCCATAAATTATATTTCTATTAATATTTTCTAGTTTTGATCTTGCACTAAAAGAACTCTTAAGAAATAGTAAAAAAGGGAGAACATTTTCTCCTAAGGACTCTGCTCATTGAGAAACATTATACAATCACAAGTAAATTTGGGGGTATCAGCTTAATACCACTCCTGCTGATTATTAGTTGTTAAAAGTCATCTCTCTTAACAGGATGGAAGACAGTAATTTCTATTGATATGGATAGTACGTGTTGTCATGAAAAAGACAGACTGGTTCAATACTAGGAAGGCAGGACTAGCATAATAATCTATAAAGAAGTTTGGAGTGGGTGCTGGGCAGAGAAGGTCAAGATACATAGGATAAATTCTCCTTCTCTCCCCAATGAGATACATATGTCAGGTGTTAATTTTAGTTCCAGTTCAAAATCATTTAGCAAATAATTGGTTGCATGTTTTCTTTTTTCATTTAGCTACAAATGAGAACTACAAACATCCAATTCAGAACACCAACTTATCTTGGCTAAGTTGGGTGTTAGACCCATAGAAGTTACTTTAGACTAGTCGTGGTACTTTTTCATAATCTGAAAATATTTCATAGAAAAGTAATCTTCAATAGAGATAATCTAAAATTTTGTATTTCTACTGTAATACTATATATCATACCCACCTACTTAATTATCCTAGAGGCTTTCTGGCAAAAGTTTATAGAGGAGGTTTTAATGAAATGACGTCTCATTGATTACAAAATTAGAATAAATATTTCCTCTTCTCAAATCTAAAGGCTATCCCACTGAATTGATTGTTTTTAGATCCTAATCCACCAGAGTACTATGTGAGGAATGCTAATCAATTGTTCTGAAGCCATTCAGAAAGATTCAATGAATCTTTATGTTTGGACATGAGTGAGTTGACTCTGGTGAATATTGACTGACTATGGCGTAAAGTCATATGGAACTTGAGTTAAGGAAAGGAAAGAATGGGGCTGGGAAGGTGGCTCAGTGGTAGAGCGCTTGCCTTGCATGCATGAGGCCCTGGGTTCGATTCCTCAGCACCCCATAAACAAAAAGAAAAAAGCTGGAAGTGGCACTGTGGCTCAAGTGGTAGAGCACTAGCCTTGAGCTGAAGAGCTGAGGGACAGTGCCTAGGCCCAGAGTTCAGGCCCCACGACTAGACCCCCCCTCCCCCCAAAAAAGGAAAGAATGAATATGCTTTCATATCGAGAGATAAGTGCCAGAGCTTTTAAAGTACAGTGCTTCTACACTGATCAGCCAAATGTATTCAGGAGCATCTAAAACCAATCCAAAGAATAATACTGTTTCATCAGCTTTTCCAAAAAGACAATCTATTGTAATTAAATCTCCACAGATAAGATCTATGAAGCATAGATTCAGTGATCTTCCTCAAATAACCCAGCTAGTCAGCACTAGAGGGACATTTCCATTTTAAGGCCAGGGATAGCTTCAACACAAGACTCTCTGTTCATGCAAAAAAAAAAAAAAGCTAATATTGGAAGACAAGAGATTGGCTACTTCTGAAAGGTGGAGGCAAGGATTATAGTGACATTGAAAGTAATTTAGGGTAAATGTACAACCTGGCTAATAAGACTTAAAAATGTGTCCTTGTATATGTAAGAGCTTTGAAAACATAATTAAGTACGGGGATGTTTTGAACTCAGGACCTCATGCTTGCTAAGCAGGTGCAGTACCACTGAGCTATATATCCTCAACTGCTTTTGAGTGATTTTTTTCAGGCAGGGTGTCCTGTTTTTGCCAGAGCTGGCCTGGACCACGATCCTCCATCTATACCTCCCTTGTATCTGGGTAACAATTTAATGTTGAAATGAGAGTCTAGCTAACTTTTTGCCTGGGCTGGTCTCAAAACTCAATCTTCCTGATCTCTGCCTCCCTGTAGAAGAAATTCACAGGCATGAGTCAGCCTTCATTTTTACGGATGGGAAAAGATACACAGAGAAGTCACACGTTTAGTAAGCAGGAGGGCTGAGATTTGAACCCAGGTAACTCCAAAGCCACTGTGCTCTTGTTTTCTTCTGCTCCCTCTTCAAGCAAGGAGGTTAAAAAGTCAACCAAACTAACCTCAAGCTCACACTTGATAACACTTAGGGTTATCTGAAGATAGGAGGGAAAGAAAAGGAGAGATTTAAAAAAAAATAATGCAATGGTAAGTGTGGAAAGGAAAGGCGTGGACTCCGGAGGAGAGATGCAAGGGATTGTGGGAGTTCACACTGCCGTGTATCTCAAAGGGCTACCCATGTCACTTCCTGAAGCCCAGGGAGGAAGGCTGTCACTTGCCTGCAGGGCTTCGTGCAGGTTGCCGTTGTAGTCTATGATCTCGGTGGCTCCTTGGTCCCCTTTTTGCCCAGGTGGACCCTAGAACACAAAATACACCAAGGGAAAATCATGGGGGTGGGGTGAGTAAAGACTACCACCAAAGCAGATGGGTAACTAGAAGCCATCTCTTCCCTGTGAAGACCTGACTTACTTTCACAAAATAATTATATTCATTTTTTAAGATTGTCAAAGGAGACAAATTATTTTTGTCTTCCTGTCCAGAGTAGATAGGAAGACTGCTTTTTAGAAATACAGAAGACTGCTTTTAGCCTATAATTTATAAATTATAGGATAACATTTTTGAAATTTTGTTGGCTTTCTCCGTATTTTTATTAACTTTATTTTCTCATTTATCCTCATAGATTGCTTCCTTATTCTTTAAAGATGCTCTAGAAGAAATGCCTACATTTCCCAGTGGAACTAAGTCCCCACACAAACTAACCCAAATAGGGAAAAATGTGCAGGTGTGTGCATGTGTGTATCCTAGACGTCTAGAATATATACACATATGCATGCACACTTATATGCCTATACATACAGGGATGAAGATGTGGCTCAAGTGGCAGTAGCCAGTAGGGGGTGAAAAATCCAAGTTCAAATCCTAGTTCCAACAAAGAAGATAGGCTAAGCCAGGCACTGGTGGCTCATATCTGTAATCCTAGCTACTAGTTACTCAAGTGGCTGAGATCTGACAATCATGGTTCAAAGCCAGCCCAGGTAGAAAAGACAGTGAGACGCATATCTCCAATTAACCACCAGAAAACTGGAAGGGGTGCTGTGACTCAAAGGGACAAAGCACTAGCCTTGAGCAAGAGAGCTCAGGGAGAGTGCCCAGGCCCTGAGTTCAACCAGCATAACCACCACCAACAAAAAAACCTAGAACACTAGATTTCTACCCTACTCATATTTGCTACATGATTTCCATTAATCAAGGCCTACTTCTTTGCTTTGTAAAGAGGGTCCATTATTTCTTTATAACTCTGTCAAAAACTAAAGAGCAAGGGGGAATGGGGGCCCTCAATTATCACAGCCTCCTGCTTCAGAGCTATCGCTGGCCACTTTAATCTGGGATGGCAAGGGACAAAAGTTAATATGAGAGACATACTCACCCTTGGGCCCAGAGCTCCAGAGTCCCCTTTGTCTCCACGATCCCCCTTTTCCAAATAGGAAAAGGAAAAAAAAAGTGAGTGAGTCATAGGAGCAATGGCCTAGAAATCTCTCCAGATTAAGGAAGTATGCATTCAGACAGCAGTACGTGAACAAGAAATTCCAAAGAAGGAAATAACAGTACCCACCACCATCAAAGTGCTTTGTAAATACATAGCTTGCATGGAATTAGAATTCCCATGTCTGATCAAAAGGTATCTTGGGACAGCAAAACGTATCAAGTGATTTCTGTGGTACCCAAGTAACCTTTGACCTTTCACACGGAGCTACATTCTGTTCATTCTATTGGGAGAGCAAAGGGGACAAAGTACAGCATTTGTGTTGTCTGTACTCACAGAAGAAATGTGGAGATGATTAGGACAGAGAAGGAATGAGCAGTTTGTTCTGGGGAATGAATGTTTTAGGGCAAGGAAGGTCATAGGCCATGCATCTTTCTCTGATGATGGAGATGGTTGGGAAAGTATATTTGTAAGTACAGGCATGTAATGCTTAGTGCTGAAATGGACAGCAGCCATCTACAGCAGATTGGCAATGCTAAAGGTCAGGGCCTGGCAGCTCTTTCTCTCTAATGTAATGTGAAAATGATGGGCTTATTTATAATGCTGCTAACAGTGTGTGGAGACCAGGAATAGTCTTAAGGTTTCAAAATTCTCCAAAGTCTACACTGAAACAGTGGGGGGGAAAGATTTCAACCTGTGCAGATGTGAAGGTTCTTTGAAACAGCTTAACTTTATGGAGTCTTTTTCCTGTATGGAATTCGAAGTCTTTTCTGCCTTTCTACATAGTTCTATAAAGGACCAATGAACATAAGCAGGGAATGGGATTTTAAAACTTCCCATTTGTGTTATATCAATAGCATGGACCATAATAACTAAATTTGCTACAAACGGAGAATAAACCATCTCCAGTCTGTTTTCATTTGGTATGCATGTTTCCAGGTTATTAATAGCATTTTAGATATCATGATTCTACTAACATATTAGAAAACATGTAAATCTGTACATAAGTAATTAAAGTGAAGCACTTCATTTCCTTTCAAAGAAGCTATTTTCAAAGAATCTTTAATAGGGGTCTGAAGTGTCAGAATATGTAAGGACAAAAACCCCCCAAATGTCTTGTGATATCATCAAAGGGATGAAGTTATTGTCATCCCTGCAGATGGAAAGAGTTTAATCTAGCAGATGCTTGTCTATGGAAAAGGCAAAAAAGCAAAGCTCTTACAACACAAAGGCTTCACGGGACAGCAAAATGGTTACCACTTACTGACCTTTGACCCCTTCGGGCCTCTAGCTCCTGTTTCACCTTGTTTCCCCTTGGAGGAGGAGAAGCAGCAGAAAGAGAGAATGGGAGAGAGAGAAGAGAGTAACAGAGGAGGTAAGAACAGACATAGGAAATTAGCAGTGACTCAGAATAATGAGGAAGCATGGAAACACTTTTTAACTATCATGTTGGTGATGACAAGACTGAACTTGGGAGTCATCACGGCATCATTAGATCCCTTCCTGGTCTCCTCACCAACCTTCCTTCCATTAGTGTTCTGAAGAAAACCTTCCCACCAGTGGTTTGAAGACCAACACTCTCTGTCAGCATAAACTTTCCTTTTCATCAGAAAGTAGATTATTTTACCATGTCTCCAGGAGTTGTTATTAAAACATCTCCACATCAGTTTGCAGGGGGTGGAGATGAATAAAGATCTTATCATAACATCGTTAAGCATGAATGTTCAAGGTATCACATGCCATCAAGTTACCATGGAAACAAACATAGCACTTACCAACTGAGACTTTTCTCAGTTGTCTATTAACAGCTTTTCTCAGTTGTCTATTAACAGCTTTATCCCTGTGCATTCCAATGTGTCATTAAGTGGACTGAGCAGAGGATATCAGGAAAGTTGTATTGTAAAATCAATTCCGAAAAGAACCAATTGGTGTGCATTTCAGCATGTCAGTTGTGATTTGGACTGTCTTACTATCTATGGAGGAATTCATTTCATATTCTAAATCTGGTGGTGTGCATTCCAGAGTCCTGTGTACTAATAACTGACCTTGGGTCCAGGAGCTCCAGGATCTCCTCGCTCACCTCTTCCAGGAGCCCCAGCCTCCCCACGTTCACCCTGTCGATAGAGAAATGACATGAGTAAAAGCAAAGTCAGCAGAGAGCCACTGTTCATTTATACCTACCTCATACTGCATTATTTAATTCCTTAATACCAATCAGCTCATGTCATCATGAAAACAATCTGTGATGGTGAAATTTAGATGTCATCTAACCTGGGATAAGGCAAGACTAAAGAGGCATCCTTTTGAGTTTGTCTGGAATGGTGTTCCCAGGGGACATGGGGCAGATGTATACACATACACACTGGGGACACCTACTTCCAGTGCGGGTGGCCAGAGGGAATGAATGGCAGAGGACCAGCACAATGTTTCTCTCCTACTCCTGGAGCCAGGGCACCTTTGTTTTCCTGCCTTTGGATATCTAAACTCTAGAGCTGTCATCATCCAGGACTACAGAACTTGCACCAATGACTTCTGAGTCCCCAGGCCTGTAGTCGCATCATCAGCTTCCCTGGTTCTGAAGCCTGTAAACTCAGGACAGAGCCAGGCTACGGACTCTCCAGCATTACCCTCCAGTTTGTAGATGGCCTCCCAGTGGGCTTCTTCCATAATCACATGAGCAGACTCTCCTAATCAACTAATCTATCTATCTCTACCCACCCATCCATCAATTCATCCATCTGCCCTGTTGACTTATGTTCAATTATATGGTGCTTGCATTAGTCCAATTTCATAAATAGTTTAGAATCCAAGATAGGCTGAAAGAGGCATTTAAGTCGCCATGATGGTTCTGCTAATGGTAGGGAACTCATGTCAGAACAGGCTGACAGGGCTGCAGTGTAACTCAGTGGTAAGGTGCTTGCTCAGCAAGTACAACATCCTGGGTTTGATCCCCACTACCAAAAGAAGAAAAGACCAAAACAAAATAAAAAAGTTTTTTTTTAAAAAGGCAGGCCTACAAGTAACTTCAAAATATTACTAATAAAATGAAATGCCCCATCTAGATTCCTGTTTGTAGGAATATCAAGAGGGTAACAGTCCATTTTTGTCATCTTCCTGGGGGCCTCAGTGTAGTATCTTCTACAAAGTATTTAGTCTGGAGCATCATGCCAGGTCCCTTATAGCAGTTAATATTGGTTCTACATCTGAGTGTGTGTATATGTGTGTGTGTGTGTATACACATACGTGTATATACATATACATGCACATATAACATATGTGCATATATACACATACATACATATACACACATACATAAAGTATGGAATAGTTTAGAATCAGTTAACTTAGGAAAAAAGGTATTTAGGGATGAACTGCATTCTGTACTGCCTGAGTTTCTTCTCTTTTCCTTCTATTCACAAACAAAATGCCACAGTCAATTACAGATCAAGTTCCTGCTCATTTCCACCATGGTGCAGTGACCAGACTGCCCTGGTGTGGTGTGTTCCTGGCTGCCAGCCCAGAATAAGAATGTTCTCTCTCTCTGTCTCTGTCTCATCCTCTCTTTTCCCCTCCCCTCCCCCCTCCTCTCCTTCCCCCTCCTCTCCCCTTTCTCTCTCCCCCTCCTCCCTGTCTCCACCCCTTCTCTTCTCTTCTCTCTCTCTTCATTCTGTAAAGGCATGTCTTATGTGAATCTGCTGAGGCTAACACAAGAATGCTTCATACTTTGTTAATAAGCCTGACGGCTCATTATGGGCACGAGAAATTTCTTAAGAAAACAAGAATTTTGCACCATCCTGAGTTTCAGCCCCCCCTCCCCCTTAGGTCACGCACAGTTTCCATCTGGTGGGATGAGAGTTATTTTCACTGGACCAGCTGAACGCAGGCCTCTTCTCTCTGAGCAGATTTCTCTAACTATTGGAAATCACCCCTGTTTTATTTCTGGTGAGTGCAGCACACACTTAGGCAGAACCTGCTGTGGTATAAAATTAAAAGAACGTAGTAGCATGATGTACTTTTGCTCTTTCTTTGATTCATGAGTCTGTCGCGAGGTCAGCTCATGCGCTAAGCTCCGTCTTTTCATGCCTTCCTGGGTAGATACAAGGAGAATGCTAAGCTCCACGAGATCCGAAGCAACACATTTTCTTTTTACATGGCAGCATGGAGCTTGTGCTTTCCGGCTCTGCTCTAGGGGTTGCTAAGTGGGAGACCATGAAACCATTTTCATGAGAGCCTATTTCTGCGGACCTCATTTCGGGGGATCCTATTGGAATGAGGTACGTAGGCGTGTTATGTGATGTGCGCACTTGCCTTTCAAAGTAGGAACAGTATTTGTTTTACAAATACATCCTATCATAGGGGACAAGGAACAGGAGTTCATGAATTATATCTTTCTTCACAATTTCTTTTTAAAAGTATATATATATATATATATATATATATATATATATGCATACATACATTTAGTAGTTGTACAAAGGAGTTTCAGCTCCACCAGTCAGATTACAAGGATAATGCATCTTGATATATGTCACTTCTTCCATTGTTCTCTCCCATCATTTTTTTTTTGGGGGGGGAAAGGTCAGTTATGGGGCTTGAACCCAGCGCCTAGGCACTGTCCCTGAGCTTTCTCACTCAAGACCAGCACTCTACCACTTTGAGCCACAACTCTACTTCCTGTTTTCTGGTAGTTAATTGGAGATAAGAGTCTCAGTGACTTTTCTGCCTGGGCTGGCTTTGAACTGCGATCCTCAGATCTCAGCATCCTGAGTCGCTAAGATTACAGATGTGAGCCACCAGTGTCTGGCTCTCTCCTATCTTTTCCCTCACAATTTCTTTACCTTCCTATACGGTTAGGAGGCATCTGGGGGATAATGGAAATACTAATATATTGTACCAACCTGTTGTTTTATCTAAGGATGACTTCCTATTAACTTACCCTTGCTCTACAGTGTATGTTGTTCCCTATTAAAGTGCCATTAGTGGATGGATCAGGGTGTTTTGGTGTTTTAGTTCTATATATGGAAGACATAGATGCTCATGTAAATAGTAGAGCTATCCACAGTTCTTTATTTTAAATTTGGGGAGGGGGACCTGGAATTCAGCTCAGAGTCTGGCACTTTCCCTCACAACCTGACACTCTTATCACCTGAGCCACATCTCCCCCTCCCCCACTCCCCCTCCCCTACCCAGCCTCATTTCTTCAAGCCAAAAAAGGAAAGACTCTACTTACTTTTGTTCCTGGTAACCCTGGTAAGCCTGGTTCCCCCTGAGGTCCGATGAAGCCGGGTTCTCCCTTTAAAAAAAGGGGGTGTACAAGGTCATTATTCCATTAATCAGTAGATAAAGCTAAACTCATTCCTTCCTTCTGAGATTTTACTTTGTTGGAGACAACTTTTTTTTTAAGATCAAGCTACTGACTATCAAATCAATCAGCATTAGTTTAAACTAATGAAAACTGAGCAAGACTAGAGAAGCTTTAGAGAGTGACAAAATCAATGTCAGTGATTTCTTTCCCCCTCTATTCAGTGTTTCTTGCCACTTACCAATTTAAGACGTATTATATTTGGGTAGATATGGCAGGTGACCTCTCAGAGAGGCCTCCATGATCCCTCCCTCACCCATGTTCACATCCTTACGTGATACTTTCTGCCCCACTCCTCACAAGAGCAGAGTATTGAGTTCCGTCTTCAATGGCCAGTGACTTCATTAATTCTATTAATATACCCCTAAGCAAGATTCCCAGTTGGTGAATCCATCTGTGTGCCAAGAGGGAAGACCATCCCAATGCCACAGAGACAGAGAATCTTGTGAATGGCTCTTTTCAAGGCCTTGCTTTATGCACGTAGGCATCTGGCTGTTCATTCTTACCTTTTAGAATAAACTGTAATGACAAACATAGCATTACACTGAATTCTGGGTCTTTCAAATGAACTGCGGCGCCTAACTATTGTGAAAACTTGTACATTTATAGTGAAGTCAGACAGAAGTATAGGTAACAAGTACCTTCAACTGAAACTGGGTTGGTTACATGGCACTGGGCTCTTAAATCTGTGGAGTCTGGCACTAACCAGGATAGAATGAAAATGGGATTGAATTTCAGGACACCCAATTGGCGTCTGAATGGAAAAGTTGGTAACTTGGTGTTGGAAAAGAGATGGCTTATCTTGTGATTTCAAACGGTATCTGTACTAGTGTTCAGACTGTCTTGAATATCCATAAAGTTTTATTTCCTTTTTACTGCTCAAGTTCACATATAAGGGTCAGACTACCTAAACTGTAAAATTTGTAACAAAAAACATGTAAAGCCCATAATGGCTCTATTTCCCTACTTCCTATTTTATTCCTGGAATCCTTCTGGAATAGCTGTTAATATTGCTGAATATATCTGATGTTGTCCAAAGGCAGTAGTTCAGACATGCTTTATGAAACTTGGGGGTTCAGGAAAGGACTCAGAGGCTGTTTTTTATAAAGCATGTAAAATGTCATCACATAGTTTACAAACAAGCAAGCTTACTTGTTCAGATATGCTATACAAAATACTGGACATTGACACAACTGAAAACATTTCTCTGATTCAGGGGCTCACGGTACTGATTTAAGGGCTAAAGGTCAGGATGGAAAACAAATGCTTTAGTTTTTTTGTATGCCAATATCCTTCCTGAGCCATGGCATTGTGCTTTAGTAGAAAGGAAAATATGACACATAATTTTGGCTGGACCTCTTAACAGGTCAATAAAAATCTGAAAATAAAAATAAAAAAACGGAAATCCATTTAGAGAAATCCATGTTGACTATTCTACTTTTAGTAAGGGTTGTCACTTCATAAAAATACAATAAATTATATTTATTTATAAGTAAAATACTTTGTCTGGTAAAAGGTGACATATAAGTAAATATTCCTCCCCTAGTCTCATGAAAAAAGCTATAGTTAACATTAAAGTAATCATGACTTACACTATGAAAAATGTAATGAAAGTTACTAGGCTCAAAGTTGGCTAGTCAAGAACTCTTATCATGTGCTTCAAGTAGAAATAAAACAACCTGTTTACCAAAGCACACAGAAACACTATTAAAGAAACTAATAAAAGACAAGAAAGCAGCATGAAGACTGCAGAAACACACTGCTTATTTAGATTAGTGTTTAGTTTGCTAAATAGGTAAGACATGCAGTTACATAACAAATAGTGAGGTTTGTGGTCTCATGAGTCAGACAAGTGTATTTTTCTTTTTTTTGAAAAAATAGAACACACATTCCTCTTAGTAAGAGTAGAGAACACAGAATAGACATAAAATCAGGAAGGCACTGGACAGTCCCAATCACATTAACCCGATTAATACTGGCTCATTATAAAGTCTTTGAATATTACTAATTATACACTACCGTGCCACTTGAAGAAAGCATCTATCCTAGTTACATTTTCTGACATACTTATTTCAATTTATTCAAGGAGAAAAATCATATTCTTTTTGGATCTGGTCGTGGGGCCTGAACTCTGGGCCTGGGCACTGTCCCTCAGCTCTTCAGCTCAAGGCTAGCACTCTACCACTTGAGCCACAGCACCACTTCTGGCTTTATTTTTTCTGCTTATGTGGTGCTGAGTAATCGAACCCAAGGCCTCATGCATGCAAGGCAAGCGCTCTACCACTGAGCCACCTTCCCAACCCTGAAAAATCATATTCTTAACTTTACGGTCACAGTTTTATGTCTGCTTACTTGAAGATCTCTTAGCCACTTTGGGGATTTCTTTTCCTCTTTGCAGCATGGTGGGAGGGGGAAGACACTGCTATTGGTCTCTTCTTTGACAGGTCTCAGAAACCATTGTTGAGATGAACAAGGGTATGTCTATTTCTACTCAGGTCTCCACTGCAGGGCTGGTTTTATTTTCTAAGCTTATACCCAAAGTTTCTCAGAGGATACAATGAGAAACTTTGGTTTCTCTGGGCCTTCTTAGGGAGTCAGTATTTAAACTGTTTTAACAATGACACAAAACACATTGTTTTTCTCCCTCCATTCTCTTGTGAATGCAGAGTTTGAAAAGTTCACAATATTATTCCTAATCTTTAAGAAACTGCAGCTTGTGGAGTTTGGGGTAGTATGAAAGAATATCAATTATATATGATATTGTTATTAAAACAGCCTTGCCTTGTCCACATATCTATATGAGGCTGGGTTTTCTTCAACCAAAACAACAAACTGCAACCGAATATAAGAACAGATATGAGAATCAAGAGGCCTTCCATTAAGCCAGGTATTAAAGTGATTTAAAACAAATAAAACCCTAAAATAGCAACAATATACACATGTACACACATGTATACACACACACACACACACTGAGGGTACTCTTCTTGGTCTCATTTGGGAAAATTCAGTTATACTTAATAAAACATGTTTAATTACCACATAATAAAATGACTCCATTTTAATTTTTAGTAAGTAATCTCGATAGGTCTAAACACATAAATAAAAAAGCCCTTGAGTTAGATGTTTTAGTAAGCTTCTTATATTTAACTAATTTATTATTTATTTTTGTGCCAGTTCTGAGGCTTGAACTCAGGATTTGGGCACTCTCCTTGAGCTTTTCTGCTCAAGACTAGTGCTCTACTACTTGAGTCACCACTCCATTTTTGGCTATTTGGGGGTTTATTGGAGATAAAAGTATCATGGGCTTTCTTGCCTTGATTGGCCTTGAACTGTGATCCTCAGATCTCAGCCTCCTGAGTAGCTAGGGTTACAGGTGTGAGCCTGTTAGTAGTTACAAGTCTTAAGAGTGTAAAGGGTCTTGAGACAAATGTTTGAAAACTGATGGTGTGAAAGTGTAAAACTGAGGTAAAGCCTGGCTGTGCGCTGTAGTCCAAAGCTGCTAGGACATGGAACATTCTGGCTTTTCCAAGGAGCGCTTAGCAAAGCACACAGGGCTCTGCCTACAATAAAAGAAATGCACAATGCACATGTGCTATTTTCCTTATAGGCTGGAACATGTTAGTTACCGTTATTATTGGTAGTACTACAGTGTTTCTGTATCCTAATTGGTTATACAAGGTGACTTCTTACCTCCAACCTGCCTAGGGCTCTACTCAAGATTGTCTTTCAAGAAGTGACTTGAACTTTTCTCATGTGAATGTCTTATCACTTTATGAGACAATATCTCTCTGCCAGAGCATTATAAAATTACAAATATTATTATAAATCCAAAAGAGGTTTAAACATATCAGAATGGTATAAGATAGAGATAGTTTTGCTGAGTGGATTTTCTGCTTTTTTGGGGGAGGGGGTCCAGTCATGGGGCCTGAACTCTGGGCCTGGGCGCTGTCCCTCAGCTCTTTGGCTCAAGGCTAGCGCTCTACCACTTGAGCCACAGCTCCACTTCCGGCTTTTTTCTTTTTGCTTATGTGGTGCTGAGGAATCGAACCCAGGGCCTCAAGCATGCAAGGCAAGCACTCTACCACTGAGCCACCTTCCCAGCCCCAGATTTTCTGCCTTTAAGGAAGAGAAATAACAGAGGTCAAAGCTATGTGTTCCTAAATGAAATCTTTAAAACTCTATCTTGCCTCTGACAAGAATTGTGCATATAGTTTAAGGGTTCCAGAATCTCCTATGCTATCTAGAAGAAACACTATAACAACCTAAGGGTACAAAAACTTTTTTTTGTATTAAAAAGAAAATCAAGTAGATATTTTAATCTGGTTGGAATTCTTATTAATAAGAATAGAAGAGGAGGTCAGAGAAGAAGAGGGGATATGTATCTAAATGATTCAAAGATAAAAACACTTTTGGGAAACTATTTTTTTTGTTGTTGTTGTTGATTGTAGGGCTTGAGCTCTGGGCCTAGGCACTGTCCCTAAGCTCTTTAGCTCAAGGCAAGTGCTCTACCACTTGAGCCACAGTGCCACTTCCAGTATTCTGGTGATTAATGGGAGAGAAGAGTCTCATGGACTTCCTTGCCCAGGCTGGCTTTGAACTGAGATCCTCAGATCTCAGCCTCCTGAGTAGCTAGGATTACAGGGGTGAGTCACCGCCTCCGGGTATGTAAACCATTTTTTTGAGTAAATCAGAATATACAAGAATGAGGTTGTGTAATCTTTAGGGAAGCATTAGGAGAAATAACTATGTTACAATAATTATTCCTATAGCTGTTGTACATATTTAATCTTAATCAACTAGAAGAGTGCTAAATTGACAATTATTCCCACCTACTGATCTGAGTAGAAAAGATAGGAAGGAATAGAATAGACATCAGAATGGAATTGATGTCTGGCATTACATTTAATGAAGGAAAAAATCTAGAAGAC